ACACACACACACACACACACACACATACTGCCGTGACCTGGCTTTGCTGCCATAGCAAGACTACATTGCCCAGTAGTTTTTATTTGAACGTGTTGGTAGGCAGCATTCCGCCCCACCCCTGCTCACTTCTAAATGGGGAGTTTTTACACATGTGGGAAAAGACCAGTTTTGATGGCAGTATCCTTGAGTGGTGGCTTAGGACCTGTGTTCCTTCTAAAAGGGTATCCATGGCGACATGCTGGAGGAATAGGGTGGCATCAGGAGGTGAGTAGAGCATGCCGTCTTGAAGTCATAGGATAAACGTCCCCGCATTGCTGATTACAAAGCTGGTCTCGGCCTGTAGTGGACTCTAGTGACCACAGGACCGTGTGGGGCTTTCGATAGGAGTGTGGTCAGAGTGTGGAGGTGACATGGGAAGGAGAACGCACCCCTGCCATGCCCTCGGCTCCTCAGGAAGGCACAACGTTGTAAACATGTGCCACCCGAGCACCTGACTGAATGAGCAAATCCTAACCGATCTGAAGGAAAGGAGACAACAGGACAGGAATGGAGGCCTTCAGCGCCCACCTGCAGCCATGGCTGGACCATCCAGACAAAGTCCACAGGCACAGGGGGCCTGACCCGGCCAAGGCCGCCGCCTCGGCGAGCAGCCACTCGGCACAGCTGGGGAAGACAAGACGTGCTCTTTGCCACGAGGAAGCTCACCCCCTGGGTTCCAGGGAGCTCAGTGGTAATGCAGTGACTTACGTAGGAGAGTCCAGGCCGAGGGGGAAGACCCAAGGAGAGGAAGCGGGCGGCTGTGTTGCAGGTCGGGCTGGGAGAGCAGGAGGGAGCCCGTCCAGGGGCCTCCGGGAAACCCTGTGTTGAGAGTCTGGGGGGACCAGGAAAGGGGAGGCCTGTGGCTTTCCTCCTGTAGAAGCTCTTGCCGTGGGGGGTGACGTGAGGAGCTGGCGAGGGACCTAGTCCTGGACCCTCCGCACTCAGAGGCTCTCCTCTCGGCCGGTCCCACCCGGGGCAGCGGGAAACCGCCCTGCTGACATTTTAGAAGAGGGAACGCTAATCGGACAAGCCGGCTGACATAGGTGCTGGCGCCGAGGAGTTGTTGGTTTGGCTGTCGGCGGGATTAGGATGCTGATGTGAGGGTGGTTGCAAACGATGGTTGTGAGACATTTCAAACGGGTGCAAGGACGTGCGGGGCTGGACATCAAAGATGACCTTGAGATGACAAGCCAGGGTGACTTGATGCAGTGAGACACTCAAACCGAGAAAGACGAGTGGGAATGGACGGGGTTTCCTGAACTTGAGCCTTACAGACAGCCCCCGCCTTCCGAGGGCGCGCGAGAACACTCGGTGATGACCTGTGTCCCAGATTATGCTTCCTGGGTAGCATATGCTTCCTTGTTAAACTTGAACAGAGAAAACTAAGAATAGATTTGCAAACCCCTCTTAGTCAATCCGGGCACGCCTAACATCTGACCTTTGTAACCTCAGGTTGACCCCAAAGATCGGCTTCCCGTGGAGTGAGATCAGGAACATCTCCTTCAATGACAAGAAGTTTGTCATCAAGCCCATCGACAAGAAGGCGCCTGTAAGTCCACGTGGGGTCCGCACGGGGCTGCTGGTTTCCATTCTTACAGCCAGACGTGCTTCCAGGATAAACCAGACTTCTCTGCGGGGTGACGAGGAGCCGGGATGCTCAGAAGTGTGTGGGGGGGGAGGGGGCGGGGGGGTTGCCAGCAGGTTACATTGAGGGTCCAGGACCTCTCGGGACACGGGGCCGACCATGGTGTGGGAGGTTCTCATGGAGGCCAGTGCCTGTCCCGCTACCTGTCACCTGAGTTGTCAGGTGTCTCCATTCCTTAGCGGAAAAGAGCCATTCTGCTCGTTGACCTTGGCCGAAAGCTGAGCTTTTCTGCGCTTGAAATGCTTGTGTTCATGGGAGAAAGCAGCCGGCCCCCAAGACCACGCAGTTGGGGTGCGGGGGCCCCTGGCAGCATCTCGGGTCCCCGCCTGGAGCAGGCGGCGATTGCTGCCGGCTCCGGGGCCAAAACCTGCGCTGTCCTTGTAACTTGCCTTGTTAGGAAGTCAGGCCTGCGCCCAGAGCACTGCGGCCACAGTCCGTGTGGGCCTCCAGGGGTGGGTCACGAAGGCCCCGTGGGGGAGGCAGCCTGGGCTCAGGCTCCAGCTGCCGTGGGGGGTGACGTGGGAGCTGGCGAGAGACCACATCCTGGACCCTCCGCATCTCCCAGGGCTCCCCCCTCGCGGCCGGTCTCACCTGGGGCAGAAGGAAACCAGATTTCCATGTTTCAGTTTTTCCCTAGAAGATAGAAAGGAAATCCCAAAGGCAGGTTGACTGACTGGCGAGGCAGGGGCTTCCTTCCCACCCCCACCCCGGCAGCGGGGCAGTTTCTGCAGCAGCTCCATGCCCATCCTGTCCTTCCGCAGGCCGGCTCCTCCTGCCATTGCAGGTGCAGGTGGGGCCTTAACCATCGCTGTTCAGCCTGCCCGGCGCCGTGAGGCTGAGCCCGCGTCTCCCTGGGGCCTCCCGGCAGAGGCAGAGGCTCGAGGCAATGAGCTCTAACTGCTTCTGAAACGTCTAAGAAGCGAAATTACGTTGGGCTGGACCCTGCTCTGTGCTCAGCCCCTTTCACCGTGACCTTTGCCCCCCGCCCCACCCCCACCCCTCACACCCTGGGCAGGGTCCCCAGGTGGGGCCCAGCGGGGAGCCCTAGGAGTTCCCCGTCCATTCCCTGGCCCTTTTCAAGGTGACCTTTGTTTGGGTTTGTTTCCTTGAATTTGGCTCGTGCCTCGGTTCTGTTCTCTGCTGAGTTTGGATGCCCGTCCCAGATCACGTCGGTGTGGTTGTGTTAGCATGCTGGCTGGAGGCTTGGATTTTAATCATTAATTTCCGTTTTTAGTTTTTAACTTGAAGGCAGACTGTCCTTCAAAGGCAGCGCGAGGGATTCCTCCCTGTGAAGCGTGTCCCAGCTCCACAGGTCGTCTCCCGGAGGCTGGAGGCCACAAGGGGACGTTCCCACAGTTCCTGGCTCTTGATTTTTTAAACTTTTTTCCCCGAAGAGGAGTTGGTGCTGGTCAGAGTTCCTTCGCCAATACCCAGGGGACACAGGCAGGACCTCCTGGGGAGTGTGCCTGTCTGTGCAGCCAACACAGGCTTGTTCTCTCGTGTAACAAGAGGTGGGCGGGCAATAAAAATACCTGTTTGCCCCAGCTCTGCAGACACCTCCCTGGGAAACCTGACGATTTAATGACAACATGTGACCCCGGGGAGGGCCGCACCCAGGAAGCTTGGGGCTCAGCATTCTCCCAGGTTTCTGGAGCAGATGAGCTCGCCAACTAAGTGGGTCCTGGGGCGTGTGGATGGGCCTGCCCGGCACCTCCCGTCGGGCCCAGACGGTGCTGCGGAACGGGAGGCACGGTCTGTTTTGGCCACTCTCTCCTGGGCCGGTGGTCAGAGTCCATCCCAACGCTGAGGGCCTGCGGTTGAGAGGAGAAAGGAAGAGAGAGGCAGGCAGGCATTTTCAATCACCTTCAACAGGAGCTTCTAACCCACATTCCCTTTCTGTCACCTGCTGGTCACCGCGGAGCGAGGAGCCAGGACACAGCTGTGTCATCCGTGTCCTGAGCTTCTGTGGTCCCCAGTCACGGAGCTCCCTGAAGCAGCGTCTCCCTTTTCTAAGAGGGCTGCTCCCCGCGAGCTACTCCCCCGCGAGCTGCTCCCTGCGAGCTGCTCCGTTAGCAGGCACAGGGCATCCAGCAGCCTCTACATGAGCGTTGGTGCACAGCCCACTTTCATGGTGTGGGCAGCATTCTGAGTCCTTACGAACATTAACTGACTTCATCATCTCAGTCAGGGTGCTGTCATCCCCACTGTAGAGTTGAAGAGGTTGAGGCTCAGTGACGAAGTGACTTGCTCAGGGTCATGGGGCTTGGTGGTGTCGCTGCCTGAACTGCGGTCAGCCACCAGGAGGGTGTTCGGTGAGCACCAGTAAACACGGGAAACACAAAGGGGACTGCCCCTGACCCTGTCCTCCAGGTGCTGAGTGTCTAGATCAGGGTGGGGAACATCTGGCCCGCGGGCCGTATCAGGCCTGAGCATTTGGTCTGGCCCTGCCAAGGCAACTGCAGGCGGGACTCCAAATTGAATAATTCTAGTAGCTGTCTTCAGAGCAACATCAACTTACCTTAAGTGAACGACCTTATAAATATCCAAAAAGGTTCCCACCCCGTTCGAGTGGGACAGAGACCAAACCGAGCCAGCGGAGCAGAGTGCCAGCAGTACCAGGAGCGTCCACGCAGGGAGGGGCACAGAAGCAGGGAGGCCGTGAAGCTAGGAGGGGACCCCATGGTGTCCTCCCTCGGTCGTGCTGCTGGCTTTGGGGGTACGGCATTGGACAGGACATTCCCAGTAGGAGGGACTGTTTGGGGAAATGGGTGCAGGCACAAAAGGGCATATGGTGAACAAGGGGGCCAGGGTGGATGGCTTTCGCCTGTGCCAGGCCACGGTGTTTGGTCCGGTCCTAGAGCTCACAGGACGGCATCTGAGGCCCAGTGGGGACCTGATCCCTGTGTGAGTAGCAGTGGGAGGCGCAGGCTGAGTCAGGGAGACAGGAAGCCCAACAAGGGAACTTGCAGAAGTCCAGGCGGGCGTGGCGGTGGCGGTGGCGGTGGCTGTGGCTGGAGAGGGCTGGCAGGGTGTTACCCTGAAGGTCAGGCGCACTGGCACTGGGGCACTGGGCTCCCTGAGGCTGCGACCTTACATACATAGAGCAGCTTTGCAGCCCAGCATCCGTGCTTGTGCCACCCGCCCTTTGCTGGCCGTGGAGCACAGGTGTCCCACGGTGCCCAGACCTGCATTTCGGGTGTCTCATCCGTTGGGAGTCAGTGTCCTACGTGGAGGCCTCGTTCTGGCCCCTGCTCTCGGCTCCGTAAGTCCTCTTGGAAACAGGACCGTGTGTGGCGGGTTGGACACGGGAGCGCCCGTCAGCGCCTGCTCTCTCCTGTAGGACTTCGTCTTCTACGCCCCCCGCCTGCGCATCAACAAGCGGATCCTGCAGCTCTGCATGGGGAACCACGAGCTGTACATGCGCCGCAGGAAGCCCGACACCATCGAGGTGCAGCAGATGAAGGCCCAGGCCCGCGAGGAGAAGCACCAGAAGCAGCTGGAGCGGTGAGCGGGCTGCGGGCGGCCGGTGGGGCGGGGGGGGGCGGGCGGGGGGCCTCGGACCTGGGGACAGCAGGTGACCACGCAGCTGCTCCTTCGATGGCTGGGCTGAGACGGCGGCTTCGGGCGAAGCAGCCTTGCTGGATGACCGACTGCGGAGCCTAAACCTCCCGGCCCTCCCCTAACAGGCAGCAGCTGGAAACGGAGAAGAAGAGGCGAGAGACCGTGGAGAGAGAGAAGGAGCAGATGATGCGGGAGAAGGAGGAGCTGATGCTCAGGCTCCAGGACTACGAGCAGAAGACCAAGAAGGCCGAGAAAGGTGGGCCGCGCTCCCGGGGCGTGTTCCCTGCGTTTCACACGGCCCCGCAGACAGACAGCTCCCACACCAGGAGGAAAGCAGCTTAGCACCAGAATAGAGACTGGAGGGACAGGGTCAGGTGGTGACGGGCCTGGGAAGTAGTTGTGTGCCGGTCCCGTCGGTGCAGAATGCTTTAGGGCCTTATCCTGCTGGTCCCCCTGCCCGAGGAGGTGGGTCCCGAGGGTCCGTCTTCCTAAAGAGGAGGTGAGGCTTTAGCGGCAGAAAAGGTTGCTCAAGGCTGCAGGGTAGTGAGTGGCGCCAGGCCGGGAGGGGGCGCGCACAGTGCTCTGCAGCCGGTGGAGCATCCTGGCGCTGCGCCCCGTAAACACGGTGGGAGGGGGCGAAAGAGGTCTGTCACCCCGGGATTCCATCGGCCCTGGGCTGGCGTGGGGCCGGCTGCAGGTCGGGGGCAGAGCCGGGAGCAGCACGGTGCTGTGTCCCCTCAGAGCTCTCGGACCAGATCCAGAGGGCCCTGCAGCTGGAGGAGGAGCGGAAGCGGCAGCAGGAGGAGGCGGAGCGCCTGGAGGCCGACCGCATGGCTGCGCTGCGCGCCAAGGAGGAGCTGGAGAGGCAGACAGTGGATCAGATAAAGAGCCAGGAGCAGCTGGTAGGAG